CTGGAGCTGGTGTGCAGCGCCCAGCACCAGCAGTCTGGGTGTAGCTGCGCACCCGCCGTTAACGCGCTTCCTCTTGCCATGTAGGTACTGCCACGTGAACGTGCCGGACGAGTTGTTGCGGGACCTGCTTCCAGGACCTGTGACCCTGGTCTTAAAACGTTCAGAAGAACTAAATAAAGACTTGAACCCTTTCACATCGGTAGGTCTTTGCCACAGGATACATCTCTGTGTTTTTGAGGGGCAGTGTGCTATTTTTGTGCTTCTGCTGTCGTAGCTTTTATTCTTACGCGTGTGTTCAGCGTGCTTAGCAGTGATTCGCATTTTCCCGAAGCTGGTGCCTGCGCTGTTGTGCTCCCCGTGACTTATTTGAACGCGGCATAACCCAGCGTTAGGGGCTAACTTACGAAGGCACGTCTCTCATCATGGCTAATTCAGCAGGGGCCGGTTTTTTTTTTTGGGCTTTAAGTCAAGACGGCTTTAGGCAATGCAAGATTAAAAACGGTTACTGCGTGTAAAACCATGCTCTCTTCTTCCTTGTAGCTGGTTGGTGTTCGTATTCCAAACCACCCTTTTATTAGGGAGTTGGCACGAGCTTGCTCTGGACCACTGGCTTTAACAAGCGCTAACATCAGCTGTCAGGCGAGCACGCTGACGGTTTCGGTAAGGCTGTTTTTGCCACTAAGTGATGATATTGTGGTAGTCTGTCAGAGCCAAGGGCTCTAACAATTGGAAGCCAGCTTTAGCAATAAAACAAGGATTTCTCTGCTGCTATTTTTTTTTTTTTAAATGATAATTTCTAGTTAAAACAGCCTGCGGATATGTGGTGTGGGGTAGCTGTCTTGCTGTGATCCTCACCTTAAAAAGCGAGGAGAGCAGAGCTGAAAAGTAATATTTAAAAGCTTATACGCAGCTTTTGAAGTGGGTGCCAAATCCGAAATAACGAAATTGCTGTAGGAGGGATGGCTGTGGAATGAGACTGCTGCTGTCTGTACAGCTCCTTCCAGCCTGGTAACTGTCACTCAAGGAGATGTCTTTTTGCAAAGCTTGTGACCCTGGTGATGGTATAGTTGGGCATAGTACCAGACAGACTCCCTGTCCTTGCCCCCAAATGTCTTGATAGACTTATAGCTTTTTTTTGTGCGCTCCTTAATAAACAGTGGTGCAGCTAAGAAGTCTTCAACCAGAGAATCCTTGTGGCTATCCTGCATGTCTGAGATAAATCTGTTCTCAGAAATCAAACCGGGATGTGTTAATGACAGAAAAAAGTGAGCTGACCTGACAGAGGAAGGGGAGAGACCACCTCCCTTGACACCAGAATGTCCAGTAGTGTCTGCTAAAACACGATCACAAACCATCTTCAGGACTGTTAGCCACATCTCTCTTTTTCAGGAATTCCAAGACCTGTGGCCTCAGTTGTCTTTAATCATCGATGGAGGCCCAATAGGGGATGTCCAGAGCCCAGAGTGTCGTTTGGGGTCAACTGTGGTTGACTTATCTGTGTCGGGGAAATTCACCATCATTCGTCCTGGCTGGTGAGCACTCTTTGCTGAATGTAACTGTAGCTTTTCCTTTACTTTAAATGAAATTAAGCTTTCAGGATAGGGTGGGTTGTGTTTTGCTTCTTTTTCCATAGCAGTTGAACCTTCACATTAATGTTGTTTAGCTTAATTACCAGCATGCTCAGAAATCCTGAAAGAGCGCTCCAAATTCTGAGCCCAGGAGACCCCTTTCAAGAAGCTTCTAAGTGAAACGCTCTGGTTTCTGGAGTTCATGTTCTCCTTGATTCAAAATGCAGTTTCATCCTTAAAAACCTTTTTTCTGACGGTTCTGTTTCTCTCCACAGTGCGCTGACATCTACAGTTGAAATCCTGAGGCAGAAGTATGGCTTGATACCAGAATCATCTTAAGACTTCAGGCTCTGAGGAGGCTCTGCAGGGCTGGTAAAGCTGGGCACCGTGTGCCTGCGCATTCAGGAAATGGGCGTTCATGGCCTTGTTTAATAAGGTCGATGGGTTATGTCAAGGTTAATAGACAAAAGATTAAAAAAAACCCCAAAACACAGAGCAATAGTTGATGGGTATCTGTTAATTAGTATCACATCTGCTATAGTCTGAGAAACCAACCCAAGTATGTATGCTGACCTCTTTGTGCTGCTGTACTATTTCCAAATACCTGTCTGTTTTATTAACGTGATTTGAGCTTTGAAATACAATAATTTGAACGTTCGACTGTTCTCAGGATGGGACGATGAAGATAGTGTCTGATCCCCCCTCCCTGTAACACTTACTCCATGTGTTTGTTTATTGTACCTGCACTGAAAGAAAAGCAAAGATGGAAAAGAGGTTTTCTGAGCTTTCGTGACGTTATAGCTATGGTGTCTTCTGGCTGTTTTTCTCCGTTCTAAATGTAATCAAAACCTACTACTGAGATGAAACTGTAAGTGCTTTTGAAAACTAACAGTATTCAGATGGTCCCTATCTAGACAAGAGCCGCTCAGAAAGACCCGACTTCCTCCTAATACAAGGAATTAAAAGCTCTTAGCGTGCTGATCTTCATTTTTTAAATGTGGACTTCCCTCTCTTCATTTTCTTCTGAAAACAGTGCTAAGCTGAAGTAAATAGGGAACGAATGAAAGTTTCCTCTGGTATTTATTCTTCATTGAAAAGTAAAGTTTATGGAGCTGCTATTAATTTAAAAACTGGTAAGCAACTTGCATGATTTTGTTATAAATGCTTATTTTTAGACATGTTGTCCATCACTTTTGACGGACTTAGGCGCTTAGCAAGAACGTGTATGGAGTCATCATGAATAGAACCTTGTTTCGCATCCAGAGCTGCCACTTCTCATTTTATTGATATAGACAAGTATAAATTAATTTTATGGCTAATTTAGAAGGGTCCAAGCACAGCTAAAATCACAAAAAAGGGAAAGCTACTGGGAGCTGAACCTCTTTCAAAGCACAAATTAATGGTGTTTTCAGTTGCATTTTTTTGCAAATATTTTTTTTCCTTGGTTCTAAAGGGGATAAAGCAACTTCAGATGTAAATTTTCAAAACATGGAACACAAAACAATCAGTTAAGAGCTTTTAGTATAGATCATTGCATTTCCTTGGTTCCCAGCACACACAGTAGTAGTAGTAAGTAGTCTCTAGTGTTCCAGCTCTAATTATCTTTAGTTGTTGGGATACAGTGGACCACAGTGACAATGCCCACCGCAGAACTTCTTGGTATAGGAGAGGTTGGATAAAGTAGAGGGTAGGTAACGGCATGGCTTAGTTTCACCTGCAGTAGACAATTTGAAGGAATATTTACTCCTCTTTACAGTAAGCTGATAGAGAAATGCACTGACAGAGTTGCTAGCGGAGTGAGGCATATGTGATCACTGCAGACAGCGGGCCAAGGGTGTACGGTGAAACGCATGCTGGAACCCAGCTAACCGTGTCGAACATCACAGAACATACCCACAGTAAGAAAAAACAGATCTTTGTCCCCCAAACCAGCACCCCTCGTGAATTCCAGAGGAGTTCTGAAAGGGTCATCTGTACTAAATCTGCAGAAAATTAGATTTGACTGCTGCTTGCAGATTTCCTGCTGCCTGTAACGCTTCCTCCTGTGAGTCCGTAGCTGGGGCTTACGCAGTCCTTGGGATGTCTGCAGATGGCTGCTTGCGCTCAGCGGCCTGGTTAGGCTGAAGGTTCTGTGGCTGCATCTCCTCGAGTGCTTTTTTCTGAAGCGCTTCTCTCTGCTGCAGCTTTGTCAGCAGGATGTTTTTCCGAGTCAGGCAAATCCTGAAGTCACATCAGCCACTGCTCCTTCTCTTTGCTGAAATGTTCTGCCCACCTGCCAGTCAGCTCCAGGTACGTGCTCGGCTGATGAGGAAGGTAGTCCAGATAAAGGCGTGTCAGCGTCTTCTTGCGTACAGCCTTCTCGATCTGGGTGCCTTCGTGCCATTCGTTGAAGGATGTGATGGAGATGGTCTCTGGCCTGACCATGAGAGCAGCCTGCAGAGCTGTTTCATAGTACTTCCCGTTGACTCTGTTCCGAGTGTTGCGGTTGTTCAGGGTCGAATGCTGGTGTCAGCGTAGCCTGGGCCAACGCCGGGGATGAATATCAGGTTGTTGGAGTCGCAGAAAGTTTTGATTGCTTTCCAGTTCTGGTGGGATGAGCCAAAAGAGAAGCTGTTGGACGCAAAGTATGTGTACGTGCCATCGCACCCTGCGGAGAGGATATCGTGCTTGTGTCCCTCCTCCACCAGCAGCGCTATGAGCACAGCGTCGTAAGCAGTGTCGCGGAGAGAGTGGGAGCCCGATGGCATGAGAAGGTTGGCCCAGGATTCAGCTGGTGTCAAGTAGGAATCGTAGATATAAAACAGCGGGAGACTCTTGCCGGTGCTGGTCGTGTACATATAAAAAGCTGCGTGTGATCCGTATCTAGAGGAGAGCACAAAGCTTTCTCAGAGGCTGGGGTGATGAACGGTGAATGCCTCAGCAGGCATTTCCATTGTAAGGCAAGCACGGTGTGAGACTTGGTTGGCCGCAGGGGCCTCCTTTCCCAGAACCTTTATCTCCATCTTCATGCGAGCGCCTGTGCCTTCTCCGTTCCCTTTTGAAAGAAGGGGTGGAGGTGCCAGCCTATGGGTGATAAGCTTAGAAGCTTGAGCAGGAGGAAGCAATTTTGGGTTCTGAAGGCAAGGTATTGAAGTGCCGGAGAAAGGGGCATTTGATAATGACCCCTGCCCAGTATTGCCCTGTTGGCTGGCTCTAGGCAGCTCCCTCCCCTATGCACTGATCTTCGGACACTATTCTGGTGCATTTAATTCAAAGTTCTGCACACTGTTTGTGCTTAAAGCAACGCTACACAGCTGGATTTAGCCTGCATGAAAAAGAAACTTGTCCATGATGTATTTGATATTTTCATGCACGGTGCGGTCACCGCGCCCTTTGTATGGCTGGATGTGAAGGGCAACCTTCAAAAGAGACCACGGAGGTGGTTATTTTCATCACGGTGGTACTGCTTTCTCTGCACCCCGACCTCCCAGAAGACCCTGGGTCCCCCCGAAGCGCGGGCTGCCGTACCAGGCGTAGCAGAAGGCGTGCGGGTCGTAGGAGGGGCCGCCGGCGGGCGGCTTCTTGGGGGGGCC